CCCGCCCCCACAAATAACCCACATTCGTCTAAGGAGATTCGATTAACCCAAATCACCGTTGCCGCATATCTCTGCAAAAGAACACTGTAAAGAAATGTTCTTTATTATAAGAGGGACAAGCAATTCCTCTGATGCGCCACAACGAAATACCCACTCAATTACACCACCACCAACAACAACGACAACAACAACTACAACAAAAATAAAAACAGCTACAAAACCCTCTTCTTATAAAGAAAATAATAAACTGGTAAGTGTTTACGGCGCCAGCATCTACAAGATCGTTTGCCCACCTTGCTCCATCAGTTTGGAACTCTCTTCCCCAACCCTGGAGACATACAACAAATGAGTGTCTAAATTTTAAAATATCTTTAAAGACACATTTAATGACATCATTTTATGTCATCAGATTCATGTTCAGTACAATGTTAAGGTAATAGCTTTGTATCCATTTATGTATTTTGCGAATTGCATTGTGTATAATATTATTTAATGTATGTGTATGTGCTCATTTCGTAACGATGACAATGTGTAAACGTGCGCGTGTGATAAGCAAGACGATATGTGTGTGTGTGTGTGTGTGTGTGTGTGTGTGTGTGTGTGTGTGTGTGTGTGTGTGTTTAGCGTGCATGTGTGTGCACATGTGTGCATATGTGTGTGTGTGTAATGTGTGCCTGAGTGTGTGTGTGTATGTGCGTGTGTGTGTGTTTGTGTATGTGTTTGTGTGTGTATGTGTGTGAGTGTGTGTGTCTCTGTGTGTGTGAGTGTGTGTGTCTGTGTGTGTGTGTGTGAGTGTGTGTGTGTGTGTGTGTGTATGTCGTGAGCGTGAATATTGCTCGTACATGCATTTATGTAAAGCGCCAAGAGCTGTGTTTACGCGAGAGTGGGCGCTATAGAAATGATCTTCATTATTTTTATTGATATTAAATAATAATGATTATTTATACTATAAGATCATATGAACGTGCGAGGCCGAAGCCTACTTTTACCGATTTTTGATCACCAAGGGACCTTTTAACGTGCGCAACTTGCACACGGGACCTCCGAGATTTTTCACCCTTGTCCGAGAAGGCTGGGAGTAGATCTTTCCTACCAGAAGATCAGGGGTGTGGCCGAAAGACAGCAGTAAGAAGAAGTCACGGAGTAGCAGTAAAAAGGCTGCAGAAAGAGTTAGAAGAGCGGAGGAGGGGGCAAAGGAGGTGAGGGTGTGGGGGCAGAAAATGGAGACAAAAGCAGATGACAGAGCATTGCTAGAGAGCAGGAAAGGAGGTGAAAGGAGACAATTTTAGAGAAGAAAATTTTTCCGTCGCTACCCGGATTCGAACCCGGGACATTTGAATGAGAGGCCAACACCTTAACCTCTAGGCCACGAGAGCCACCCAAACTCACTTCAAAAGGACTTTCTCTATTTTCAGGAGTATATTCGCTTCCTTCAATTCATCACAACGCGTTCCGTCCGGAAAGCAGTGTTTTCGATACGGAGAGAAAACGGACACACCAACACAGCCCTTGCCCTGAACTACCTGAGAAGGTTTACGTTCACCACACAGGTTTTTTTCTCCTTGTCTTACCATTAGTATATATTTAAATTTTATTGTCTTAGTCGCAAATACTTACCAATATTATTTGTATAATGTATGATATTGTATTGAATCAATGAATTCTGAAGCTTATAACATTGTTATTTGTATTTCATATTATATATATATATAGCTTTACCCAAAACACCAGGTGCCACTGAGTGTGATGTGCGCAGAACAGTTAGCCCTTTGAGTCATTTTACCAAAAATATTGCTGCCAGTAATAATGGGAAGATTGAAAAAAATGTAAGACCAGAGATATCTAAAACGCAATTCGGTTTTATTCCTGACTAAGGGAACAGAAATGCTATATTCACCTTAACAATGTTGATGGAAAGAGGTATTGAAGCACAGAAAGATCTGTATTTAGGCTTCATAGATTATTCAAAGGCGTTCGATAAAGTTAGACAAGATGAGCTATTTAAAATACTTGAAAAGCTAGACATAGAAGGTAAAGATCGAAGAATTATTAGCAGTTTGTACTGCGACCAAAACGCTGTTGTTCGAATTAATGGAGAATACAGTGAATATAAGCAGATTAGGAGAGGAGTGAGGAAAGGATGTGTTATGTCACCAGACTTCTTTAACATACAGTGAAAAAGTCTCAAAGTAAATGGAGAAAATATTAATAACATCATGTATGCAGATGACACAGCTGTAATAGCAGGCTTAGAAAAGGACCTTCAATTACTTCTAGATACTGTTGTAACAGAAAGCGAACATAAAGGATTAGTGTTGAATGTAAAGAAAACAGAAGGCAAGTTAATATCCCCCAAAAAGTAGCAAATCCTAGTTGAAATCACATTAGCAGAGGTGAACAGATCAAACATGTCCAACAGTTTAAATATCTTGGATATATAATAACACATGAGGCCAAATGTTCCACATAAATAAAATGGAGAATTATAAAGGCTAAGGCAAGTTTCAACATAATGACCCCGATCTTGAAAAATAGAAACATTTCAATGACCACCGAAATGAAAGTTCTGAAATGCTATGTATGGTCTACTCATGTATATGGCTGGGAAAGCAGGACAATCACTAAAGACAGACACACACACACACACACACACACACACACACACACACACACACACACACACATACATAC